CGGTGGCCGAGGTCTCATTAGTTGAAAACCGACCAATCAGAAACGAACTTTCTTATTTTAAGGCTTTTGACCTTTTTGAGTGAACTTTGCTATAGGTTATCGAGAGCCCTGAATCCGAATCCATTGCCCATTTCGGTGGCCGAGGTTTCATTGGTCAGGAACTGACCAATCAAAAACGAACTTTCTTATTTTAAGACTTTTGGTCGTTTTGAGTGAACTTTGCCATAGGTTATCGAGGGCCCTGCATCCGAATCCATTGCCCATTTCGGTGGCCGAGGTTTTATTGGTCAGGAACTGACCAATCAAAAACGAACTTTCTTATTTTAAGACTTTTGGTCGTTTTGAGTGAACTTTGCCATAGGTTATCGAGGGCCCTGAATCTGAATCCATTGCCAATTTCGGTTGCCGAGGTCTCATTAGTTGAAAACCGACCAATCAGAAACGAAATTTCTTATTTTAAAGGCTTTTGACCTTTTTGATGGAACTTTGCTATAGGTTATCGAGGGCCCTGAATCTGAATCCGAAGCCCATTTTTTTGGCCGAGATTTCATTGGTCAGGAACCGGCCAATCAGAAACGAACTTTTTTTTATTTTGAGACTTTTGGCCGTTTTGATCGAACTCTGCTATAGGTTATCGAGAGCGCTGAATTTGAATCCGAAGGCCATTTTTTTGGCCGAGATTTCATTGGTCGAAAACTAACCAATCAGAAAAGAACTTTCTTATTTTAAGACTTTTCGCCGTTTTGATCGAACTTTGCTACAGGTTATCGAGGGCCCTGAATCCGAATCCGAAGCCCATTTTTTTGGCCGAGATTTCATTGGTCAGAAATCGGTCAATCAGAAATGAGCTTTCTCATTTTAAAACTTTTGGTCGTTTTGAGTGAACTTTGCTATAGGTTATCGATGGCCCTGAATCCGAATCCGAAGCCATTTCTTTGGCCGAAGTTTCATTGGTAGGAAACCGGTCAATCAAAAAAGGAACTTTTTTATTTTACGGCTTTTGGCGGTTTTGATCGAACTTTGTTAGAGGTTATCGAGGGTGAGAAATCCGAATCTGGAATCAGGATTCCAAAATTCAGATCTCGAATCTATTCGTTCTATGAGAAGTGATGTTGAGAAACAGCAAGTACTTTGTAATACGTGACAGTAGTGTAATGAATCAAGAAATACGAAGATAAGATGAAATTAGAGTGCTTGTAGAACAAAGATTGAGGAATGAGAGCGAGTTACGCAAAAAAATTATTTAGATTGACAGGATACAACGGCTGTGTCCACTTATTCAGAATATTTCAGATTATCGGTAAATCTATACTAACGTGTCCTCTTCCTGAATACTGATAAGCTTCCAAAGAAAATTTCTAATGTGGATGAATTTTTTTGTAAAGGATCAAACTTTCCATCAGTTTTTAAAGTAGGAACGATGGCTCGATTTTGAAAATGGTATCAACCTTTCGTGAGTGAAAGTAGCTGGAAGTAGCGGATAGCCGTGAATGGCGTTCCTTCAGAAGGACGGCGAACGAATAGCTGCCTCTAAACTAGGTTTATTCAAATCTGTTTTACGACATTTCTGCATAACATCAAGCAAGGTCCTTAAAAGAGTGCCACAGAGACTTAACATGTGACATTTTATGTAGAGAAGGACTCCTATAAACATGGAGAAACTCGAGAGACGACACGTATATATTTAATAGATATCTTGCTGGATATAGGAAATCTAGTACCCTTTAGTTACGAGTAGAGAAGCTTTTGAAGCAATCGAAATGTGGATTAGTCATGCCTTGAATAAGAAAGTAGTCATTTGAGAATATGTGTTCAAAGATAGTAGTAGCTAAGTATGAATAGCGCCACGTCGAAACTCCGACAGTGAAATATAGTAGCTTCTATTTCTATTTCACAATTTTTTTGGTATGAGATATGGTCTATTAAGCTAGTTTTTTGTGTAAAATCATATACTTAAGCTTCTTTCGATGGCGAGCTCCATGAAATCTTAGATTGACTAGCTAGGTAAAGGATTGAAACGCATAAGGAATAGTTCACAAGTATTTTCACTTTGGGATTTCTCATGCGATAAATATAGGCAGCTTTGAAACTAATCCAAATCTAGAATCCAGTAAAATTTAAATAACAGTGCATGATTATATAATTACTGGAAGAGAACGATGCATAACAGCAATTAGTTGCGCGTGACGACCCACTCGGATGCCGACGAGTGACTAGCTGCTGCCCTAAAAAATCCTTTGAATAGAATTCTTTTAAACTTCTAATCCATTGGAAGGATCTCTAGCACTTAGATCTTACTAGGATTCATGGGAGGAAGAACTGGCAAGAGGGTTAACAAGTGTATTTGAATGAAGTGTGAGAGCGAGTGTGTTGGAGATCTTCAATATCGGAATCGAACATTTCCTGAAAAGCGTCAATAATACAATTTACATCGAATCATCAAAAGTGGACTTGAATGGAATTTAATAATCCTTTATCTTCATAGATACGTCATCTGCCCATTGACTTGTCAAATTTTTTTTCCGGCTATTTAAAATTCGTTATTTAATCTCACAAAGACTCAGAGTTGAAGCCTGATTCAACTTGCGTATGCCGGATATTAGTTTGAACAAATATAGCTTTTTAGTCTGATAGCTACGCTAAACATGCATTTTCGTAGTGGGTACCGGTCAGCGATATTGCCCGCCTATGTGTTTATGAGTATGCGCATTATTAATACAGTTTGCGTGAAGTGTAGTGCATCTTTACTGCAGTCACGCTGATATTTTTTGTCTGCTGATTTTCTCTGAAAATCGAATATACTATTTTTTCGTGGTTTGAGGATATTGCTGTGTCAGTGTGGGTCACGTAGATTTCTTTTGAGTGTTATTGATAGAGTAACAGATTAAATGAACGAATGTTATAGCTAGCAGTATTACAACGGTACCAATAGCATTATACACGCCGACACATGTGTACACTAATGTTGACACTAGCACAAAGCCATGTGCAAATGCCCGATGCTACCTTTTGCAAAATGTCTGCAGTAATAAACAACTGCCGATGCAGTGAAATATTCAGTCGAGGGTTAAGCGAGTCACACAGACGAGCGTTACTTGTGTGTAATGAATGAGATTATTTATTTCTTTTATACGGAGTAGAATCACTGGATATCTCATTTTACTCTAACCGCCTGAAGCGAATATTTGAGTAACTGGAACTCACAAAGAAAAGAATTAGTAACAAACTTCATCTGACATGAAAAGAGTTAATAATCAACTTCATCTTTTGGTCTCAACTCTCACTAGTCATTCAGATGAAGATGTTATGCATCCAATCATTTTAAATAAATTAGAATAAAATTGATAAAAGGTTTAAAGATAAGTATTAGAAATAGTTTTGATGATATTTGAAAATTAGACTTTTTTCAAGAACTTTTTCTTAAGACCATCCCCCTGAAAAACCAATCTCGCGCCTGGTACATTCAGATTGGCTAAAATTTGGAGAGTATGTTGGGGTGTGGTAGAAAGACTATGGTAAAATTTTCAGCTCTATACTATGATATTTGACAGAGATGTTCGACTAACAAAGGTCAAAAATAGCTTATTCGGCAACCCAAATTTCTGTCCAGGCTCATTATATATATTTGATTTTAATCTCGTTGGAAAGAGCATGTCAGGGTGCGGGGAATCATACAGTCCTTTTTCTTGAATTCTTACTTCTTAAGCGGAGAAACGGTATCACAAGTTCAATGACACAAAATATCGTCAGAAAATGGCACTCTGATTATATAAGCGTCTGTATATATAATAAAAGCAAAGCTTAATTTAAAAGAGAGCTCTGTGATGCCCTGTGTGTTGACACGGTCTTTCAAACAAAAAGCAATTCTATTAGCTACAATGAAGCTCCTTTGAGAATTTTGGGATGTCCGATCAAGAAAATATTAGCCGAGAAAAATCGAAAAAGATTTCCCAATTTTTCCAAACAACGCTTATTTTTCAAAAAGGGAGCAACGGAAAATATCAAACATTTTTGGTAAAAACGATATCTTAAATAAACAACAACATCACTTTTGAAAGAGTACATATCGGGCTATCTTCATATACACTTACCTCAATTTTCATACTTTTGACGAAAACTGACTTTTTTTGAGGGTGGGGTGATGTTAAGTAGATCGTCCATAAGTCACTATATAGTCTTCAATGCTTTATTCAAACTGAACTGAAAAATCTTTAAAAACCGAATCATGGGCTGAACCGATTCGGAGCACGATAATTCACCGGATACATCCTCGACTGACCAACACCGATCACGCTCATATTTTGTCCATAAGTAGGCCCTAGTAAACCAGTAAAAGTCTAAACATGTTTGGGATTTTGGCAAGTTCAGACCAAGATATCGAGCTTTTGGTGGATTTTTCTATGCACAAACTCATTTTTAAGCAGAATCATTCTTTTTAGTTTTGACCTAAAAATTTATCCACATAAAGGGCTCAATTAGACTAGTTTGTAGCAAAAATTTCAGAATGCTTCAACAACGTCTTTCTAACATAAATTTTTCAAAATATAGACTCTTCCCCATGACTATTGTATAAAACATGATAGTTTTGAAAAATTCATATTTCAGAAAGACTTTATCAAAACCTTCTAAAATGTTTTCTAAAAACTAATCGAATTGAGGTTTTTATGTGAACAAAGTTTCAGATCAAAATTCAAAAAGCACGATTTTGCTCGAAAATTGAGTTGCTGCAGGAAATTTTGCTAAACGTTCGATATCTAATCCTCAACTTGTCAAGGGTTGGAATGCTTTTGGGCTTTTTCTAGTCTCGTTAAGGACAACTTATGGGTAAAATATGAGCTGGATCAGCATCGGTCAATTATGGATGTCCTCTCGTCAGCTCATTTTATTCGAAACTCAGATGTGATCGGTAATATTGTTCAACCTAATTTTTTCCTCAATTATGATATTATTGATTCAGAGTAGAATCTAATAAACAAGACAAGTTCAAACTTAAATTACCTTGTCCTTGTTTTAGAAATAAGTCAATATTTTCTAATAATTTTTTAAATTTATTGGGTGCTATTTTACCCTGAATTGCTTTTGCACCAATTATCCAACCATCCTCAGCAATATTATCTAATGCTAAATCACATAAATTTTGTGTATCCCTAATACCACTTTGTTGAAATAACTGAGATAAATTTTGACGATAAAATTCACGTAATGCTTGGAATAATCCTGATTGCTTTTTATTTATTTGCTCATTCATGATTTCTGGAATAATATAATTAGAAAATCTTGTAATTGATTTTAAACCATCATTTTTTATTGCAAACCATAGGTCATCAAATACACAAGTTTCTTTTAGACATTTATCATCAATATCTTCGAATAGAAGTTGTAAAACAATTGATAATATTGGACAATCTTTCATATATCTATTTCCATGTTCTGCTGTGCGAATCAAAACATGTTCATACCAATGACGTTTTTCTCCATTTTGATATTTTTTAAGAAATGAAACAAACCATTCATTAGATAAACCATATTCTGTTTCCCATTTTAATTGAAAATGCTTGTTTAATAATTGTATCAATTCACTATCATTACCATTTATTTGTTTATTATAAATCTCAGAAATAATATCTTCTTGATAATTCTTTAATGATTGTCGACCATTTTCTAATAAATCATTAATAATTTTATCTTTATTCTCATCATCATCGTCCAATGCGAGAATCTTTATTAATTCGTTCGTGATTATTTTTAACAGATCTCCACTATCAATAGGATTGTCGAGTTTTTTACCTAAAGAGGAAGAGTCTATACTGGACAAATCTGATATTTCTGCTAATTGATTGCTTTTACGTTCTGAAATAATGAAAAAACCATTAGAGAATTTAGCATTTTTCTCATTATCAGAAAGGTTTTCAATTTGAAAGATATGAAACTTAAATTTATTAAGTTTTAATTCACCTATACTACTCATTTCTGGTAAAACAAATGCTCGAATAGTTGAGCTTTAATGTCTATACTTGTAAGATATCATACATTTAGCAAATCATGGATGCCGGGTCCACAAAAGTTATCTCTCACTAACTCATTACTTATTATCTATAAATGAATCTATCGTCGAATTTCTCTAGAAGAAGAATGCATTTTCCGCATTTATATCTCACGTAATTTTATGAACAATTTTTTCCACTTTTTAATCTAAGAATGCTTAGAGAACGCATATGACAGACTCTGTGCATGTTTTTTTGTCGTCACCCTTATCTCGTCCTCCAACAATCGTTGATCGAGCATCACACGAATTATAATAATAATACTTGATCTATAGACTCTTGTTTTGCATTGTCATGGTTTTTAATGTTGATCTGAACTTTAAAATCAAAAGTGAATTCTTGCTCAACTAATACAGGAATTTGTCAGTGAGAACTGCATCAGTATAATTATTATGTCAATTCTTAATGGAATCATCATTAAATTTAACGAAATTCTTCAAAGCAACCATGTTATTCATGAGACAACATTTTCTGCTATTGTCCATGCACGTTTCTTATATTAACATATGTTTTTAACCCATGTAAAAGATGATCCCTTCATTAGATAGCAGCGCATTATGTTCCCTTCTCTGATTACGAAATAACTATTCTTCAAACTAAGGAATGGTTAATTTTAGCATCACAGAATCAGTAACAATTATGTTTGATTATTATCTTGTTCAACTTCAAAAATACCTTATTCTTTCCATATACATTTTTCGCATATAGTGTTAGACAGATAAAAGAGTTGAATTAATTCGATATTCTAAGTTCCTATTAAACCTAGAATATGACAGATATTCATTCACTATTCTGTAAAATTCAACCGACTCAATAATTCTTTGGAGTGGGTGTGGGTGTGGGTGTGTGAAGGTGTTGATGCGCTGGTATGGAATCAGGTGTATATGTAAAGAGAACACCCGACTACACCTTAGACTCCTGTTTTACATTGTCTTCTTCTTTAGTGTTGATGTGAACCTTAGATTCAAAAATAAATTCTCGCTCATTGGATATAGGCTTTGTTAAAGAGAATTGCATCAGCGTGATTATTAAGCTAATCCTCAATGAAATCACTATTAAATTTAACAAAATTCTTCAAACCAATCATTCTATTTATGAGGTGACATGTCCTACTGCCGCCAATGCACGTTTTTTTATATTCCGCCTAGAGGGTGCTCCAGAAGGTCTGAAGTAATTTTAAAATGCATCGTTCTCACACTTAACAAGAGTAAACTTTTTGAAACTTTGTTAGATTATTGTACATACTTAGTACTAAATAACTACAAAGTTTGAGGTATGTAGCTTCTATTATAGATGAGAACTCGTAACACCACTGCCATGCATTATTTTTTTCGCTTTTCCTGATTACCTTGGTTATTATTTTCAAAATAATACAACTTTTCGAGATAGAAAGAAAGACATCAAGTCATTAATGTTCGTTGATTTGATTACCATCCTGATCAATTACTAATTTTAATCGTGCTGATATATCAACTATCATTCGTTGACATAAAGAAACACTAAATTTCTCTCATTCCTTTTTAATGTCATTTTTCAACTCTTCAATATTATTGTATTTCTGTTTTAATGCATCCCAAACGTTTTCTTAAGGTCAAACATGTACCAGTTTTACATCACAATTTATTGGTTCAATCTGATTGATAAAAACATGTTTAAGACTATCCACAGTCATCCCTCTGCTTATGATATTAACTACCTTGAAAAATAAAATTTCGTAAACAACCTTATTCTTTGGTTACCCATTGTGCTACAATATTTCGAGTGAATTTTGCATATCTGCCAACAGTAAGATACATTTTCTTACAACAATCACTACCGTGTGGTGTGATGAGTTCTAACCAGTCATCAATAAAAAATGAAGATTGTTGAGCGATTTGTATATCGAATTTTGTCAATATAAGTTACAGGAAATTGAAAAAAACAGTACATCGTAGTGTTGTTACAGACTCTCATCTATAGTAAAAGCTATAGATCTCAAACTTTGTGGTTATTTAATACTAAGTATGTACAGTAATCTGACAAAGTTTCAAAGAGTTTGCTTTTGTTAAATGCGAGAACGATGCATTTCAAAATTACTTCAGTACTTCTAGAATACCTTTTATATTTTTATTGTATGTGAAAGATGATTTCTTCCATTACTCCGCAGGTCGTTATGCTTATTTCTCTAATCCTCGAATCTCTATTCATTAAATTGAATGGCTGTCGATTCTATCATTAGAAAATCAAACAATAAATATGTTTGATTATTATCTTATTTCCTTTAAAAAATATCTCATTCAAATCTCTTTACATATATTATTATACAGATAAAAGATTGAATTAATTCGATATTCTAAGTTCCTATTAGACCTAGAATATTACAAATATTCGTTTATTATTCTGTAAAATTTAATCGATGCGACAATCCTTTGGAGTTTCGAATAATTTCTAGTTGATTAATTGTCAGAATTATTCATACACATCTCGTTATAAATGAAATTTCGAAAGGAAGTCCTATTTTTCATATTTTCCATAAAAAAAAACTTGGTTATTTAGTATCATTATGTACTTCATTACTATTTAACTATTTTACGTACATTTAATATTCTACAGCAATTTTTTATTTGAAAACATCTTTAAAAAGTATCTTTCCATTTTACCTAATCAAAAATTTCACGCAGACTTCACTATTTAATATTCTACTTTTAGATAGTTTCTATTGTGGGTGTGGGTGTGTTTCTTCTCTTCACCCATACCCACACCCTTGAGTTATCGTCGGAGTTTTTATCTTCGTTTGAATTCTCGTTTGAATATGAAGCGATACCAATAGTGTTGTTTGAATCTTGACTGTTGCTGATGTTTCCTGTTCTTGATAAAGCTGAACAGGTCTAGAATGTGGGGTGGGTCTGCAGGTGTGTTTTCACTTCACTGACAATACATTCTCACTTGAACACCCACACCCCATAAATATTTTTCTATTCATGATGAATATGGTAGTTAATGAACGAAATAAAGAAATCATATAAATATTTTCGGCGCATGGAACTATTTCAAGTTTTTATAAAAAAATGAATTTCGTGTTGATTCACGAAGTTTGCTGCTCGAATCGACGCTACGACCTTCATATTACTCTTTACAATGATTAATAAGTTCCATTTTATCTATCTAAGCGGATCTTAGCCGTAGAAGAGAATTCATGAGAACTTGAGGAAAAAAACAAACTGACAATTTACATCTTTCGTTGACTTACCTGTATCGGTACTTCTGGTAATAGTCTTCATTGACAATGGTTCTTCCATCATTGTTTGAATTTTATGATCGGCTTTAATTTGAGAAATGAGTTCATCAAGTTCAACAACGACGGCTTTTACCTTGCAAAAACAAACTCATATAATGAAATCGAACTTATTCAGCCTAATTTTACTTTTGTAAATCTGCAAGCCCATTGTTCATTACTTTTCTTATCCATGCAGTAAATATAGATGGATATAACTTGTTGAAGTTGATGAACAGAAGGCACTATTTCTCGTCCCAATCGACCACTAGCAATTATTACTAGGTGATCTTTGTGTGATTGTTCTTCGATAAATTTTTGACATTGTGGCACATCAGGAAATTTCTTGAAGTGATTAATGATAGAACTCAATTTTGATTCTGTGTCGCGAATGTCTGTAGCGTTCACGTTAGCATCAAGCCAAATGAGACAGGATATTTCAGGAGGCATATCATAGGCGTTTGTGTGACCGGCAACAGTTTCTACAAGAGCAATAGCAATGCTCATCATGGAGAATAAGTAGGATAAAGGTTTTAAATGTTGACTATTCGATTTAGTTATCGAATATATGAGTAGAAGCGGCATTTTATCTTTTCTTTATCGGATTTGCTCCGTAAGAGAAAATATTTCGGAGAAAATAATAAATTTTTATAAAGAGAAATGAAGGTGATAAACTTTGAGAAATCCATTACAACTTCAGATTCCTCAAGTTCGATTACGTTTGTTCAAGCGTTATCAAAACGAGGCATTCTTTTCCCAGATTACTGCTTCTCTATCGAAAAACTCGGATGAAAAGTTTCTAATTTTCCGTCACCAGTTACCCTGGTAACGTAGCGACAATTTTTCACCTATCTACCAACGACAAAATCACTGCCCATAGTATTTTTGGTCTAGAATATATAATATAAGATCAAAAGAAGTTTTCTTAGATATGTATAAATAGCGCAAGTGTAGACGTTTATAATACATATAAAAATTTAATTTGAAGATACAGACTGTTCATATACATTCCAAGTCTTTTAAATATGCGTGAAAATATGGAGTGGCACAAAAGTCACTTTACCAAAAAAAAAATTGAATATCGTCATTACGGCTCAAGGAAACGAATTAATTTTTTTTATTAACGATAGAGGCATTTGCAAGCTTTATATTCATAAGGACATGTTTAGAGAGACTCTTTGTTAAGTATCACTATTGATCTCAGCAAAACAAATTTTACTTTTTCTCAGATAGAAAAAAAACAATATACTTAATCAAGGGTCTCTCCAGGCATGCTTTTATGAATATAAAGCGTGAACATGCCTCTATCATTAGTAAAAAAAATCAACATGTTTGCTCGAGCCGCAGTGGAGATATTCAGTTTTTTATCCGTAAAGTAACCTTTGCGCCACGCCGTCTATTGTTTTTTTCCTATCTGGAAAAAAGTAAAATTTGTTTTGTTGAGATCAATAGTGATACTTAATAAAGTCTCTCGAAGCCTGTCTTTATGAATATAAAGCTTGAGGATGTGGGTATGAATATGGCTGTTGGTCAACAGAACACCCACATCTACACCCATCCACACTCCGAGGTGCCCATAAATGAAAAATATTTGTCCATGTCACCTTATTTCATTTTCCGCATATCTAATAGATATATAATTTTGAATAGGCTTTTACATATTGAGACATTTATCAAAGTATTATAAAAAAAACATTAAATTATCAATAAACTGAATTGGAATATTTTATTTTACTTTTTCAAAGTAAAATACAGATGAATGCCATCCCTATAAGTAACTACGTTTGGCAATCAGAAATGAATGTTACACTGTCACTTTTACTATTTAGTTTAATAAAATTCATGGTATTCTTTTACTTCTAATCTTGATGAAAATAGAATATGTACCGATATTGATAACACCTCTCGCCAACCTTTCTTTCCTTTTACCTCTTTACTATCTATCTATGATTCTTTCTTGGACTCATTTCTTTCTTTTCTATATAATCATATGTCGAATGCGCAGCAGACACATTCTGGAGAACATAAAGTAACTAATAAACATAATTATCGAGCGTGGTGGTAAGCCGCTCTTCCAGTCTGTCGTTGATGTCAACTCCGACTATTGGATCCTAACAAATTCTAAACGGAAATTGATCTTTATCAGAACTAACAACAAGTTAACATCGTGGATTATCATGCGACAATACGATTTAACAATAACAGATGGTGAAAGATACTGATTGAAGGGAGGTAGCATGAAGAGACGAGAGTTGCAGGACATAGCGCTGTCGAATGACTATAGTACTTATGGCCTGCAGTACTAAGCGAGCTGCAATGTTACAGCAGACCACTAAATATACTAAAGGGGGTCCATGTGTGAACTGGCAGTACGAAGTCATGAACACTTTCCCTTGTGACATCTGTACCTTTCACGTAACTTGAGAGTGCGAGATGTGAACGTTGGTGTGAGTGTTGATGTGGGTCTGGTTTTATTCTACCCCACGTCTACACCGACATCTACATCTACACTCCATATCGCAGCCAGATCTCACTCATTCATATCACCCTTCTTAATCAATTTGGAAAAAAGAAGCTTCAATATATTAAACAATGGTAATCAAACAACTTGTGGAAAAATTTTTCAGAAAAGCCATAGTATTAGATATAGCTGCTATTACTATTGTCCATTTCAAAATATAATATGCTCCATTGTTTTTTGAATAACTCAAGAACGCAAGCAGCTAGAGATCTGCGGTTTTCACCAATCGAAAGAGGAGACCGAGGAAGATTTTTTCTCTAATAATGTTTAAGAGAAAATCCTTTTAAAACTAATTATTTTCGAAAAGCATGTAAAAGAAGACACGAAAATGACCTGCCATCTAGATGAAATTTTGATTTTGCCATTTGATTTGGATAGACGGACATCAAATCTATAGTTCAAGGTATAATGAGAATTGGTTCCCTTATTACATTCTAACCTTGAGCAAATTGAATCATATATTTACATGCGCAAATAATAGGGATTTTTGCTAATTTTTTACTAAGTTTTCTCACTTTTTATCATAATAGCCTGACATTCCGATGGAAATGTAATGATTAGTAAGAAAGCGCATTGTATCTTGACCTATATATTTCAAGTTCCTCTATCTAAAACAAAGGTCAAAAATCAAAATTTCATCTAGATGGCAGGTCATTTTCATGCCTTCTTTTACGTTTTTTCCAAAAAATAATTAGTTTTAAAAGAATCTCCTCTTAAACATTATTGGAAAAAAAGACATCCTTCGGTCTCCTCTTTCGATCGGTGAAAATCGCAGGTCTCTAGCCGCTTGCATTCTCGAGTTATTGAAAAAACAGTGGAGTACATTATATTTCGAAATGGACAATAGTTTTATATACTGTGATGTTCTCACGAATAATCACTGTGAACTTTGATTAAAATGTCCGAAATCTCTATTAATTTGAAATACATGTGCTAGTGATCATTTCCCATTTGTCGATATAGTAGGAGATACGTGATCTAGCGTACTAAAAGCAAAGTATGTAATTTATCTATATTTTTTCGTGGTACGAATATAAGGCCTCGCCTCGAAAATCGATTTTAAAGTCAAGTACATTCAAATCACGTGAAATTTTTAGGGCATGTTGGGACTGAAGTGGAGACGCTATTGTAAAATTTTCAGCTCTATACCATGATGTTTGACAGAAATATGAGCCAAACAAGGATCAAAAATAGCTCATTTTGCGTCCAAGATTGTTCTGTTTAGGCTCTTTTAATATATTTATATTTTTTTTTGTTTGAAAGAGCATGTCAAGATGCAGGGTACCACAGAGTCCTTTTTTTTAAATTCTTACTTTTTAAGCGGAGAAAAAGGATCACAAGTTCAATGACTCAAAACACTCTCTAAAAATGGACGCCAATTTACATAAGTGTTTGTATATATAATAAAAAATAAAGCTTAATTTAAAAAGGGACTATGTAGTGCCCTACGCCTTGACCCGCTCTTTCAAACAGAAAAAATTTTAAATATATTGAATGAGCCTGGATAGAGAATTCTTAGCTACAAAATCAAAAAAATCATAAACCGAGAAAAAACGAAAAAGATTTTTTTTTTTTAAAAAGGCCTGTTTTTTAGGAAGTGGATAGTAAAAGTTATCAAAAAACCTTGTCCCAAAAAGGAGTGTCGATTTAAAAGTCCTCTTGTTCCTGAAAGAGCAGAACTTGGGCTATCTTCCCATGCATTTATCTCAATTTTCCTTTTTTTGATGAAAATTGATTTTTTTTTTTAGGGGAAGGCCTTAAGAAATCGACTGATAACAAATGTTGTTTGTTAGAGTTATTTGTAGTTGTATTTTTGTTGAAGAGTGATCGCAATGAAATTAAAGGAAAAAGTTTTGTTCTTTTAATAAAGTTAGTAGTAACGAATGATCCTTAATATAGAATCTTTCAATAGAATTTGTGTGAAAGCAGACTAGTTTATTTTATTAGCAAGCCATGAAAAAGTTTTTAAATAAAATCTACAGTTGATTATGATTTTTTTTGACCTGCCAGAATTAATTTAAAAGACCATGATTTCATATATCCAAACTGTGATCTGGTACTCCTCGATTAGATACAGCTACACGAACCGCGTTTATTAAATGAGGAATCACGATATGTAAACCGCGTTACGCATCGGAGTATGAGAGAATGTGTAAGGATAATTAGCATGTCGTGTCCCACTTTTTCTGTCGAATTTCTGAATATTATTCAAATAATTTTTTGATTTTATCAAGTGACATTGTGGACATGGAACTTGAGAGAGTTCACTACACTGTTTCCAGAAGAGCACGATAACTGAAAGCTTCCAGGTTCAGGTCATCGTCGGCGCATCAGAGTCAAACGAAACTGGTGTACTATGGAAAAAAATTTGCGAAACAATCGCAGTGAGCAACGTTAAATAAAAACGCCCTTTGGAGCGATTTTTCGATGTAACGATAGTCAGACCATTACTAGCATTCTAAAAACAGCTGAATACCGCGCCATCAGAAACCACGGTTTTAAACGGTTTATAGAACCTCATTAATGGTCTGATTATTGTTACCTAAAAAAACTAACAAAAATCGCAGTTTCGTTTATCGTTGCGCAACGTGGTTTCTCTTGAAATTTTTTTTCCGTGAGCAATTTCAAATAGTCAGACTGCCTTAATACAGATGATAGTATATGAAAAAAGTGGATATCTACGTAATCAATTATAAGATACCTGACTATGCTTCAGTGACGACATAAAAAATCGACACAAGAAATTTTGAATTTTCGTCGTTTTAGTGTTTCTTTTTTCTGATCGATTATTGTAGGTTTTTTTATCAAATATAGTTCGATGGCACATCTAACCCATATGTATTCGTAACTGAGTGTTTTATTTTCACTCATTACATGTATTTAATCAAAATTCAATAGTTCGAATCTGTCGTTGTTTTGAAAATGAACATGATGATCAAATGAAAACCAAAACAATTTTTTTTATTCTCAAACCTTTTAAGACACTTTCCTGTTTTTCGATTTTATGTTTTAATTCAGATAGCTTTTAAGATGAAAAAAGTTCATATTATGATGCAACAAAAAATAATAATAACCAACCTATTCTATATTTTTTCTTGGAATATAACTCCATTATGAAATGGAATATTCGTCATGCATTATGAGAGAGGTTGAAAAATCGACTTTTTTTGCGCCAGACGGATCGAGCTGAAATTTTA